TGGCTTCCAAGGATCTGTTTGCCGGTTAACTAGCTCATAGACCTGCATGTGAGGGGTCTAGTGACTGTGAACGGGCTTGAGTGATCTGTGAGCTCTAGACCCAGCCAGTTGGCCCAGTTGGCCAGATTACGGGCAGGTAAAAGAGCTCCATAATTGGCAACATTGGCAGGATTCCGACATTAGCCCAAGTGCTACACTATTGAAAGAGTGAGGTTAAATGAGGAGACTCTGGACTAGAAAAGTGGTTTCAGAATGAAGGCAAATAAATGGACATTTTGAAGATGTCAGCAACAGGACTTGACAACAGATTGAACAGAGAGGGTAAAAGAAATTTGAGTGCAGGAAACATTTACCGAACTATCAGCACTATGCATGAAGGGCTGGGAATATAAAAAAGGTCTAAGACTCAGTTTCTGTTATTAAGGAACTCTTAGTCCAAGCCTGCATGGCTGGAATATTTGAGAAGTCATTCCTAGAAATGAGATGTTTGGGAAGAGGAACTAGTTTAGTAGGGAATGGTGATGCTGAGACAGAATTTGTGTGTTTATGGGTGGGGGTAGGAGTAGGGAGTAGAGAAAGCTGGAAGCACAGACATGGGTGCTGGTTTGTGTCTGCCACGTTTTATGTGGGTTGACTTTGATGGGACATCCAGTTTGATTTCTATAGGCAGGTCACAATCCTGTCTTCATCCTTTATTTAGCAAATATTTCTAGAGTGCCAACTCTACCCCAGGGGCAGTGCTAGGCTCTGGCAGTACAACAGCAAATGCCCTCATGTTGCTCACTGGACCAGGGTCAAGAGAAAAACGAGAGGCATTGATATTTCCTATAGAATTGACGGCATAACACCAGTAAGAAGTTTAGAAGTACCATAGGGTGAAAAATAAGGTTAAACAACATGAAGAAAACATGCATCCTCAAGTGCAAGTAATGTTATATGATCCAGATTTAAATTTTTCACTATAGATTTCTTAATCCAAGACTTTTGCCTTCCTTTTAATATTAGCGGGTACCTTCTGCTCATGTGTTCAAGAATAAAGAATAAATGTAAATTTAGTAAAGATTCAACAGGTCTGTTACAATACTGAAGTCAAATATAGAGGTGCATTATGAAAACAAATGGAATTTATTCCTAGGTAATGATATTCACACCATAAGCACATATAATAGAACTAATTGCATATCCACTGAGATGCCTGGACCTTACCCATTGGGACATGACTCATCGTGGAAAGTTTCACTGGCTGAGGTTGGTTTAGGTGAGAACTTCCCCGTCCTTCATCGGAGATGTTAAACATTGTCAGGACAAGATTTGGGGAACTGGATGATGTGGTCATAGCAGCAGATAACAGAAAATATTGTGGTAGAAAACAGGAGAAAGAGTGGAAGAGGAAAGATTATTCTTTATTATGGAGAAGAGTTTTAGAAATCTGTAATAATTCAGGGAGGACTGTAAAATATGATTCTCTGAACATAGACATGTTGTTTAATTTTTTTTTTTTTTTCTGGCTGGCTGGTATAGGGATCAAACCCCTGACCTGGCTGTTATCATCACCATGTTCTAACCAACTTGTTCAGTTTTCTTGAATAGCTATGTCCACCAACTAATTGTACTGATTACATTCTGACCATTGTTTTTCTGTTATCAAACTAATGCAGGGCCGACCCTGTGGCGCACTCAGGAGAGTGCGGCGCTGGGAGCGCAGCAGCGCTCCCGCCACGGGTTCGGATCCTATATAGGGATGACCGGTGTGCTCACTGGCTGAGCGCGGTGCGGCCGGTCAAAAAAAAAAAAAAAAAAAAAAAAAAAAAAAAA